AGAGAGAGAGAGAAAGAGAGAGAGACAGATAGAGAGAGAGAGAGAGAGGGGGAGAGAGACAGACAGACAGACAGACAGAGACAGAGACAGAAGGGGGCGGGGGCGTGGAATGGATGGAATAGTGAAAAAAAGAATCAAGGAGACCTGACTTGCACAGAAGAATCAGAACTGTCAGGATTCCACACATGTTTGACCACCCAGAATTCCCACGAGGATTAAAATGGTCTCTAAACTAGTCACAGGGACTGTCCAGCAGTCAACATTTTCGATCTAACGTCCACATCTGACTGTACTTGAATAGATAACGAACCTGGCCGAACCGTCAACGGCCCTGGCGAGAGAGGCGATTAGCTCATAAACCTATCTCAGAGGCGCCGACGAGACTACGTGAATCTGGGACGAGCTCACAGCCAATCACTGATTTATCTACTAATAAATATTGCTTGAACTTAATTTGTATTTGGTTTTCTACTGGCAAGACTGTCGGAAATACACCCCCTCCCCCTTTCCTTTCTCGCTCAAAAATAAAAAAGGCTACCCCCCCCCCCTTTCCCCAAATAAAAAAAAGATAATTTAAAAATGGACATCTCCCCTTTTTTTCCCCAAGTCCCAGCAGAACACCAACTCCCCATCACAAACGTTCACCCACTTTCCAACAACATCGCCCCAGTTAACAAGCCTCCGGTTCTCCTTATTTCTGTCGTTAGGTTTTCTTATTGGCCTCGTTACGCCTATTCAAAAGCGCCACAGACTTTGCTATTTCAAGATTCCAGACACGTCGCTCAAAGTATATGCCCAATTATCCCAAAGCGTTTACTCTCTTCCAGAAACAGACACTACAGCAGAAATTTCGAATCCATCCACATTTCCTAAACGTCTATCATGCACAAGTGTTCTCACGAGCATTCAGTTTTTTGTTGCTGTTTTTTTTTTCTCTCTACCTTTTTTTTCAGTCATTCTTTTCATATTCCCAAATCACCAACAGACTACCCAAGCAAAATCGGAGACTCCAAGACGCTCTTTTGCTATGAAATTAAATAAAACGAAAGAGATCAAATATTATATTTTGCAAGGCCACTTTCAGGACCAGATTACTCCCAGTTTTCTTATAGCCAGGTGCAAGAAGTCAGCGGGGGCTGCAGACTATTTGCCTGAATCAAACGGCTCTGTTTACTTTTGTCGCTATTCACACCTTGGTGCAGTTTTCTGCGCATCGCCGCCTGTCTCTGCCTACGGTACATAAACAGACCCCGTGCAGACTCGCGTTCATTTACCTTGCATAATATTATAGCGCGGCCTTCAATAGAGGAGGCACATCCTTCAATAAGAAAGGAGCTTCTTATTTCTTAATTTGGGCATACGTTCATCACAGTTTGTGTAACTCAAACACTCCGCCCAGAGCAAGTTCTTGTTAAATCCAAGCTCATCAGATTTCAGTATTTGGTCCCAATTCCTTCTTCAGGCGCTCACTAAGAGATTGAACTCCCTCCCGTGTTGTTCCAGAGTCAACAAAACAGTGTTGCGAGACGGGAAGGGGACGGTGGAGGGTGGCTGTTCCATCGCATCTACTTTACATTTCTTGTTA